TGTTAGATCTAACTCTGTTTCTGCAAATCTCCACTTCCTTTTCTTATTATACATTTATATATGGAAACATTTATAACATATTTTTTAAAGAAATGTCACACCGCTGAAATGTACAGTTGAGAAACATGTTTAAAATCAGGGAACTATTTATTCCATTTTTCTTGAGCTCTTTTATGGGATGGAGGGGGAACCCCGGCACATGAACGACTGCTGCTTTAATGGCTGACAGCACTGAAAGCAACGCAGAAACGGATGTTTCCATATATATTTTAGTCACTGTCGGCACAGCTGGGAATGTATTGTAGCCGCAAACAGAGCCGACAGCGAACCGACAGCGCCGCACTGCAGAGAAACAACCACAGGTGAAGAATTTAACAGGAGACGCAACCTTTTCTTTGATGAGCTTCATTTATTAAATGCACTAAAAACTATGATTCACTTCATCTGTGAGATATCTGGATCTCTGGCATCATTTCTGTCTCTTGTTGAAGGCTGATGAAAAATGTGGATGTGGAAATAGATTCATTTATTTTCTCTAAACTAGTGCGGGAACTTTTATAAGAATGCACCCAGCTGCGTGCAGTTTATCAATATGTTTAACCTCCTGGGGGTGGGTCTGGGTGTTTTTTGGAGCTAGACCTGGGCTATGCTGGCGGCCCCATTGTTTTGCCTGTCCCATTTCCCAGACTGGGGGGTCTGAGGATTCCCCCCTGGATCTGGGGTCTGTTCCCCCTAGGGGTATCGGTCCCTCAGACAGGGGAGGATATTGGATGTATGAGGAGAGTGAATATACGTCCCTGTGGGTGTAAGGTGGGGATTGTGTGAATGTGACTTGATGAATGTGAAGTTGTCTTTGTCTAATTGTCAGGTTGGGTGTTTGCCTCCCCCTACCTGCTAAACATCCTATGCCCTGACAGTGAACAGGGTCTGCCTTCTCTCACTTCTTTTTCTCCCAACCGATGACAGGTTCCTGTGTCTGCTGGCATGCTGATAGTTCTCTAGGTGGGGGGTTGGGTACTTCGTTGGCTGCTGGCTCATTCATGGTGGCTACCGGGCCTGAGCAGACTGGAATTCGTCTGTCTGGCTGTGTGTTTCCTGGACGGGGCCGCCTTTTAAAGTTGCCTTTTGTATCTCTGCTCCTTTCTCCTTGAACCCCAG